AACAAAAGAGGACTTGGCCTGTGTGATGAGGGAAGCCACCTTAGACCTCTGGAGGTCTTAATGGCCTTAAATTTCATTAATTAAAGCAAGATATAGAATGAACGTGGTGCTGACAATCAGTGTCAGACAAGTTCACAGTACATCAAATGGATCATGAGTGGACTCAGATGTGGAATACCTGGTTTCTGAATCCCAAATTTCTTTACTTGGGCAGCAAACACGCAGAATGGGATTCGGCTTCCCTTGCACTGGACATGAAGCTAGGTGTCCACTCTAAGCTGTTTACTCCTTGCTCACTCGGTGAGGAAGCAGATGCCTCCATGGCTCAGTCAGGCAATCCTAAAGTACATGTCTGAGGTATGTGGGAAGATTCACCATCAGAAGAGAAGTCAAATGAATAGCTTTAATATCTGATTTGCAGGTGGCTAATGTCAGCTGGTACAGAGTCACCCTAGATCTTTAGCTCCAGTAAGATTACTGTGGCAGCGACAAGTGCAGCAGAAGGATTTCAGGGTGGCAGGAGTGTATCACTGGTGAGCAAAGGCAATTGTAGACTCTGAGACATCTACAGGAAGCAAGTGTTTTTAGCTTTTTTTTAAACGGTATGTGTCCTTTTTCATTCTAAGTTGCACTTCAGGTGAAGAACCACTATTTTGGAACTGGCAGACCATAGGAATCCAACACCTAAAATTAGCTAAAATGCACACTTCTATTTGGGTTTTGGTTTGACCAGTTTCAAATTCTATTTCTGTAAAATAAAATTCCTCCAGAGGTATCTGTTTCTCTCTATTGATTATAATAGAAACTTAGATGACAAACACTTAGATGACAACCTCAGACATAGTTCTGTAGTTTCTGGATGTCTCAAATTGGGTGAGACAGGTCCCACCTCAGGTATTCAGTCTAATGCTGTTATGGAGATCTCCACTATAATTAATGAAAGGGACAGGCATGCCCAGAAAGTGATTTAGCCCATCCTAGCACAAATAAATAAATTCACAAATCTCTAGAAATGTCTCTCTCTCTCCTTTCTGTAGGAAACCTAGAGGATGTTTAGAATAGATTACAAACTTTTAGACTGTTAAAGCTAAATCAAATGAATCACACTCTTCACTTCTTCTCACCTCTATGCAGAAAATGTAGATAACAGTACTGTTTTACCCCTTCCAGGAATTAATTAATAACAAAAGAAATTCTAAGGTGCCACAGTGAGCAAAAAAGGTGCAACAGTAGTATAGTTTTTAACCCTGTGTACTTTCTGGGTAGGATAAAGGCTACTGTGATGTGTGATGAAGTGTGGAGTAGAGTTTATTCTGTGTGGGTGGATGGACAAGGCCATATCTTAGATGTGTTAGATGTGTTGTGCAGAACGACTCTTCAACATTTGGCTGTCACCCGGATATGAAGACATGGAGAGAAGGAGAAAACCAAGCTGAAGATGAAGCCTAGGTAGGAGCATGAATGACAGGTAGGATGATAATATTGTCCACAGTGATTGAGAATGGAGGCAGAGGAGAGAGGAGACAGGGTTTGGGAGGAAAAGTTCAAGAGCTGTGTTTTATGCATATTGAGCTTGTTCTGACAGCCAGACATCCACTAGGATATGCTGGAAAGACAGGCCAAGGTTTTAGTTTGGACAGGAGTCAGTCCTGCAGTAGAGAGGTTAGATCTGCAAGCTGTCACTATAGAAGTAGTAGCTGAATTTGTGTTGGTGGATAAGGCTGCTAGGGACACAGCTTGGATGAGGAAGGGAAGAGAATCAAGTGAAGTGACTTGTTTATGCCCCCATATGGATGGGGAAGAAAGACAGGAGGGGACAGAGTAACCAAAGCTAAAAGTACAGGGCATAGAATTGTTATAAATACATTATAAATACATGTAAAAGTACATGAAAATTATGATCTTTCGTAAAGGAGGACATGGAGGTCAAGTAAAACTATGGTAAAGCTGATGAGTTGATAGGCAATATGATTTAAATAGACCCCAAAAAGCTCTCTTGGCAAGTAGATACAGAAAGAACTTTGGGCCTGCTCAAAAGTAAGGGATTTTGGGAAAGTTATTTCTAAAAGCAATTGATTGTGTGAAAATTGGAAAGCTGTAGACCCTTAGGAGAAACAAATGCCTTGCATAGAGAAGTGGGCTTGTGACGGATGGTGGTCAGGCACCTGTCCAAGGAAAGGTTAATAAAAAAAAAAAAGGAAAAAAACTTTCATAAAAGAAAGTTGCCTTTTGAAACTATTAGGCAACATATGTTGTGTGAACAGGAAGTCACAGTAGAGCAATAATCCTGACAGCTGTGGAGAAACAGGAGTCTGCCGCAGGAACGAATGGCTCGAGACCTGACAAGAACGATGATGGATGCCCCGTTGGTAGTACACGAGGACAAGGCAAGAGACGTTTAAATTGGCTGAACCACAGGAACAACTTTGAGTTGGCATCGCAGCCGGACAAATGAGGCCAGTCCTAATGGTGAGAGAAATGGGAGGGGGGACTGAAGGAAGATGGCAGCAATGCAGCCCTCCTTTCCAAGGACGAGGGCTACATCGCTATCTCACCACGAGGTGGCTGCATTTGTCTGTGAACATCCAAGCCCTGAAAGAAGCTGCACACCCTGAAGCACCATGAAAATGAGAATGGGAACAGAGATCACTTGCAGGATTTGGCCCACCTCATTCAAAGCGCCTTAAGCATTTTGAGTCCCTGTGGGAAACACAGTGTGTGCTCCATGTCTTGATCAAGTGGCGGTCACTCGACGGGTCCTCACTAGTCTGCTTAGCTATGGTAACTGCCCATGTGCCTGCCTGTAGCTCATGGGAGATGCAAGGCAATGCCACATAACTTAGCTTATAATGAAGAGGATGAAATTAATAATTTTCTACTTGTTTTTCCTGTGAACTAAGAGTAGGTATGTGGACTGTTGCTGAGGTTCAGTCAATTCATGGCAACTTGTCAAGCCATGGAAACTCGATTGTGAATCTGGGATGTGCATCTAGTAAGGGTTAAACTATGATGCTTTTTCAGATGCCCAGATTTGGTTATTTGAGAACATTTCTAGAACGGGTATTTGAGTCAAATAAGTCAACAGGAAAAATGGTCCCATAAAAAACTGACCGATGAAACGGCCAAATTCTTGATTGTTTTGCACATCCTAAATTCAGTTGACGTTAGCAGGATGGGATGGAAATTTGCTCCCAAGTGGTCAAGAGATGAGTATTTTTTCTTATCTAAAGTGAGCTGGAAATAGGAAGGATAAGGGCTGGGGAAGGATAAGGGTATTTTGGATATAGTAGACCTAGATAAAATCTTCAACTCTCCTTGGTTTTTTTTCTGTTTTCTCCCATCTTTCTCTCACCTCTGTCACCTGAGTTTGCTAGCTTTTTGGGACAGGAACTGACTTTTTATTACACCTTTTTGTGGTACCACACCCTGTGGAACTGAAATTCCTGATGTGAGTTTACACACGTTATCACTTTGGATCAAAGTTTGAAAGAAAGTCATTAAAAGTACCTCTTTGACCTGTCTCAGGAAAGATGCCCATAATATTTCACTATGGGATGTCAGCATCAAGCCCAGCATCTGGTTTTGTTAGAAGGAATCTTTTAGGAAGAGACTCCTAAAAGTATTGTAATATTTCAAAAAACTGAGACTCCCATCTGTAAGGAGATGTTTTTCAATAGTGCTACTAGTAAACATGTACTATTTTTAATCTGATTTGTGTAAGATGGGGTTCCAAAAAATGAGATCTTGATGATTTGTTACTTTTAGAAACCTTTTCCCCTATAACGAATTTTCTGTTTTCATCCCTGAAAAGACCTAGAGCAAATCTGCCAGGCCCACCTGAAACTTATTTGGATAAATTAATGAATTTACATTAGAGTTTCTTAAAAAAAGAGAGATTTTATACTCTTAAGAATATTTTATTGAGCTTCCTGCATCCTTTCCAAGTTGTCGGCATGCTTCTTAGCCTTTCATGATTTACACTGTGAATAATTAGTAATAAAAATAATATACTATTATAATAAAGTTTAGATTGTCTTTCCTTGCTGACAGTGGAATGCCTTACATTCTTCTGGGTCTGTGTGATGGTGTATAAATATCACTTTGCATAGAAAATACATTTCCATTTCTACTTTCCTGAACTATCAGGCTTGAAACCCCATATTACTAGATATTTATCCAAGTGGAATGATCGCTCAAATGTTTCCTGGAAGATTCAGTAGTTGGTCTGACTGTCTTTCAAAAGTTGGATGCAGGGGACCACATTTATGCCTAGGTAGGCACTTTTGTAATAGCAGTGAGAGGTGCCCATCACTGTGTGATTTGTCTCTAGCTTCTAGTGCCATCATGTGAACGTGCTGCTCTCTGTTGAATGCTGGCAAAAAGTTCTTTATCCTTCACCTAGAGGCAAGGACTCTTTGGGGAGGGAAAGCAAAGAAGCCCTTAGACACAAGTTTCTGCTTGATTCATCCCTCTGAAACTTGAAAGGTTACACTCATGGTAAGTTTGACCCAATGTTTTTGGCATCTGTAAGCTATAATGCCATCATGTGAACATGCTGCTCTCTGTTGAATGCTGGCAAAAAGTTCTTTATCCTTCACCTAGAGGCAAGGACTCTTTGGGGAGGGAAAGCAAAGAAGCCCTTAGACACAAGTTTCTGCTTGATTCATCCCTCTGAAACTTGAAAGGTTACACTCATGGTAAGTTTGACCCAATGTTTTTGGCATCTGTAAGCTATATGTCTTTTTTTCATGTCATCAAAACTGCTGGTGACAGAACACAACACCCCTTGGGGTTCTGCACCTATGTGAAATGACAGTGTCTTCCTGGCCTTTCCAATGATGAGTTAAGCACACCCAAGGCCCTGCATGCCTGAGCTGTTATCCATTCTTCCCAGAAGATGAGTTGCAGAGCATAGATAAATCATCCCTCCTCCTCAATCAGGCCACAGGGCAGGAAAGGCTGGACCAGTCCTCACTTGCCCATGCTACAGAGCTACTCACCGGCATTGTCTGGCTGCCATGCAAGGCATTAATGGCTGCTTGGGCCTCTGCATGTGAAGAGTATTTCACAAATGCACACCCTGGAAGAGTAAAAAGAAGAACGTAAGAAAGGTTGCATTGGTACCATGAAAGTCAATCTAGCTGAGTATCCTGTCCTCAGAACTGGCCAATAAAGAAGGTAGTGGAGAGAGTGTAACAAGCAAATATGCTCTTGGTTATTCCTTCTCAAAGTCAAGTCATCAGCAACCTGAGGACCTTTTGAGGCAAAGCCATATCAAGAATTCCCACGCTGCTTGTAATGGGCACTGATGGACCCAAACTTAACAAGTACTTTTTAAATCCACTTATCTTTTGACCTCCACAGCTTCCAATGGCAGTGTTGCACAATTCTACAATTTATTGGGTGAAAATGAATTTCCTTTCATTTATATTGGACTTAATGCTGAATGCTCCTCCCTCTGGGGTTATGAGAAGCAGTAAGAAAATGTGTAAAAGTTATCAGAAAGTTACATATACTTGTTACAAGCAACCGCAGGCCAGCTGTACAGAAAGCATTCAGGTTACTCTAAACCCACAAGGTACCTTATCATATCACTGTCTGGTAGAGCTCCATGACAGACTGCTCAGAGCTTGTCTTGGCTCTAAGCAGCCTTGGTCTGACAAAGCATAGACAGCTTCTGATGAAGAAGCTGGGATGAAGGAGATCCACATGTGATGATTGCCATCTTGCCACCACCAAAATTTGAATCTTAGTCTTTCACCATAAGCCGCAGAGCCAGTGCCTGTATAGGTATTTTCCTCTGGACATTAGAAAAATGTAGGCAGTGTTTCTCTGGCCTGCATTGCCATGTGAGGAACCTCTCACTGAGCTCTTACATTAAGTTTTAGGGCAGAAAGATGCATTTATGAATATGTGCTAGAGTGCACAAATGATCAACACTTCAAAGGGTCACATGCACCACTAGAGTGGGGGAAAGTATTGCTAACACTCTTAGCTACAAGCAAACTAATTCAGAGAGAGGAATAGTAATTTCCATATGCTAAGGCAGTTTTTGGAACAGATTGGGAGAGATCTGAGAAGTTCTGGCTTCCATCCCCTTCTATTACTACCAAAGACTTTTGAGCTTTTAATCAATTGGCAAAGCCATAGCTGTTTCCCTAAAGGGGTGCAGATCACTGTGCAGGGGATGCCAGTCCTGACAATGGGACAGATCTCCTTTATTGCCTTTGCAGAATCTTTAGAAAGGCGACACTCCCTTATGGATCCATACAGTGCAGGGTGAAAACTGAAGCATTAGAACACCCCATTTACAAACTAGAAGAAGGAGCCCCAGAGGTCCCTAAAATCATCACTGCAGGCTGATAGAAGTGAGATTGAAGAAAGCAGTGATAGCCCCTTCTAAAAATAATACACACATACGAAAGCAGCTTACAGTTAGGAGCCCTTCACTTTGCATTACCCCCTCAGCACTGTGCTTAGACTGTATTTCAAGAAAAACATGATTGCTGCTAATAGTTGGATCTAATTTATAAGGAGCTGAAAGGAGACAATCATGAGAAAATGAGATAGATAAACTTCAGCTGGAAACAATAGGGATCAATTATGACATAATCTCAGCCCAGCATTCCTGGGCTCCTGACATACTACGCCTTCCTCTTCATTAATCAGAGATAATCCAGAATTAGGGTGTTTAATTATTTGCAGAGATTCTTTTGTACTTTCTGTCTCTAAAAAGAAGATGCTGATTAGCAAATATACAAAAGCTTTCCAGCTCCAGTCACCCATTGTATTTAGAGCAGGATTTTTGGCTGCAGTGTTGCTGTCATGTTGAAGGCTTCACTCTCTTCAAGTGAAATCCACCCCTGTGCTGATGGATCAGTGGAGCTCGACAAAGGTGGGAATGAAGGGAGCAGCAGGCATTTATCTTGTTTAATGCCCATGATGTTAATGGGATCCCTCCTACTGCTTCCAGTAGGTTTTGAGGTAGCAGAGTGAGTGAAAACTCAGCTTTCACTGGTGTATGGTGGCAAGGCAATAGCAGAGATCCCAACATTTTGGCCCTTTTGTTTGTGTGTTCAGTGGGATGGCTTCTGTACACAACATCAAATGTGCACATAATCTTCTTCCCTCCTATTTTCACCAGAACTCACTCCAGGACCTCATGAGCTGAGGGTGTGTGTCATGCCAGCCTCCTCAGAACAATGGTGTCCCTTTGACAGGAGCAGATCTGGAGTTTGAAGGGATTTTGACACACAGGAAGATATATAACCTGTGCTGAACAGGGAGATACATGTGCTCAAATGTTTTTTCTTTCCTTACTTCCAGACTATAGATCTGAAAGGGCTGCTCTGACTGTCTTGTCAACTTGAAGGAGACTGCAGAGTCAGAGCCTAAGGTTATAATTGCAGAGGGTGTTAAGACCCCTCTTGGAACTTCTGGTGTTGTGGGAAATCTTTACTTTCTGAGTTACTGAAATAGACAGCTGCTGAATGGAGGAAAAAAAAGGGAAAGAAAAAAAAAGAGGCTGTCTAGAGAGCAGCAATGCAGACCTTGTGGGTCCTGCTGGCTTGCTGAACTGGATCCACTTCAGCTTTCTCACCTGAGGACTCCTGCACTCCTGGCTGCACACTGGTGAGCTTTACCTGGAAGTGTGCAGGAAGGCTCCTTCCTCTCCCACCTCTCCCAGGAGAGACAAGTTCTGCATTCCTCTTCAGGCAGACAAATGCCTCGGTCCCAGCTCTTCTGCTACCTGGTTGCATGCTCCAGCCACTGTGCCTACCCCTGGGTGACTCATGCAGGAGATATTTCTGCAGCCTTTGAAGGGCCTGCCTCATGGCTCAGGGCTTCACCCATGGCTTCAGGCAAGGTTCAGGCAGCTTTCTGGCTGTGACTGGACTGTGGTGGCATTAAAATGGTAAGCTGAGACCTACTTTCTGAGAGTGTCGCTTGCATCGAGGTACCTGGAGGACTTAGAGGCTCACCACAGGGATGCCTGGTGGGGCTTCACATAATGGGTTGGGTAGGATTGAAGTCTATGGGATCTGATTGCTATCTGGCACTTAGACAGTCTGCTTAAATCTCAATTTAGGTGGAATTTAAGCCTTATGGGTTTTACCCAAAATAAGTAGCTCACAAGCAATATTGGTTTCTAGCAGATGGAAAACATTACAGACTGAGGATAACTTTGTGGGAGTTGTGGCTCGCCTGACTGTCTCCTAAGATAAGGGCACTAGCCTTAAGTTTTCTGTTGGATTGACTGCTCTGTGTGCGTGTATGTAACTGTGTGTGTGTAAATTAGGAGCTTCACATTCTCAGAAATAGCACCAGCAAATGGAAGCTGGTAATATTAACTCTGTCAAGGCTCAGTATTGATCCTGAACAGCTCAGTGAAATGCAAGCCTGAGACTGCAGCCCGCTAGCACTAATAATTAAACTGGTTAGCAATATGGAGCTGCCACTCAGATTCAGACTTATAATGAAATTGTTCAAGAAAAAAAAAAAAATAGAGCAAGTATGAATACAAGTCTGTGGGTTGGATCTCCTTTGGAACCTCTTGCAGATCTCAGACATTATTGCTTTTATTATCACTCTGTTTAACTCCTTTGTCATTAGATTTTGTTCTGTACAATTCCGGGTGGAGGCAGACAGACGTATTTTTTTTACTTTTCTCCAATTTACTGATTTGCTCAGTGAATGGAGTGCTTAACTGCCTACTGTTATGACGGTTGCAGCTCTTCTAGGCCAACCTCGCCTACCCCTTCTCAGTGGGGCAGTCCCTGTCTTTGGGTGTCATGAAACTGAAGTAGCCATACGATTGAAGAAAGGTACCCACAGTTTATTTTCAGCCATTTATGTCAGGAAGGCTGAGCTTTGCTGACTTATATCAAACAGCTGCCCTATAATGCTGGTGTGAAGTCTTTTTTGGCCGCCAGTGATTTTATGGAACAGCAATATCTTTCTCCAGTGTATCACTGTGATTTGGATTTTTTTGCCTCTCTGTTGCAAAAATGTGCTGGTTGATGTTCTCACATGTCAAAATATCCAGTGAGATGAACTGCGTCAGCAGGACTGGTCTCTTCCCTGGTGCTGCACATTCCAGCACAGTTTAGTATATATTATATGCAGATCAATATTTAATGGACACATTATACTGTCAAGAGAAAAGGGCTTCCTATTCAAATTGAAGTTACTTTGTCTAGAGAGTGATGGGAAAAAAAATGACTCGCATATTCAAGAGAGAACTCTCATTCTTACACCTGGGCTGTAGAAAAGGATCCTTTGTGCTATCCAGGTAACAAGTGATGCCAAAAAGTGGCAGAAAGAGGTAAGGCACCTAGTTTTGCAATGAAGCATTTGCATGTTTCAAACAGTAAATGTCTACTGAGTGTAATGTTTAAATCAGCACCTGTACCCTTGCAATTATGATCAATGGCTGGTGTGTATCTATGCAAAGTTCAACTGAAGAAGGGGAAGACCTGGGGCTGGTGGGTGGGAAACAAGCAGACACGGTGGTGGAGCGGGTGAGTCAAGATATAAAGTAGCAACCTTGGCTTCGTTTAAAGAAAGAATTGACCTGTTCAACAGGGTGGGGAGAGCACATCTTGAGTGAATGTAAAGGCCCTGTATTCAGAGGGGAGGCTCTGCCCTGCAAGCAAACAGCAATAGGCATCAATTTTCACACGGTGAGACATAGCTCATTGCGGGGCATGTGTTTTTAAGTGCAATCACCTTTTTCCTCTCATGCACAAGCAGACAGTGACCAGCAAAGAAGTGGCCTCCCTTGGCAAATGTGACCCCTCCTAATGTAGGAGATGCTGTCCTGGAGGCTACCTAGTGACTTTCTCACACCAGAAAATGATACGTACACTGAGACCGGGTCTAGCTTGACACTAAAGCCAGAGTGTGCCACAAGCCATCACCTTACCTTTGCTGTTGCCATCGGGTCCCCGAAGGATTGTGCACTCCTCAATGTTGCCAAACGCCTCGAATAGCCTGCGCACATCATCTTCTGACTGCTGCTTATTGAGCATGCCCACAAAGAGTTTTCTGTCTTCTGGAACAAAATAAAGAGATGCTTACCATATTTCAGGAGGAATGTGAAAGCCAAGATGGCTCAGTATCACATGAAAACAAATGGTGATTTCATTGAGCTGACATATTTCAGAAGCTGCTAGTCATTTCAGGTGGCTGGCTCAAAAAACCTTAATAACATCTGACTTTCAAGGAGTACTTGAGAATAATTTGGCAATTAAAAAAAAACCCAACAAAACAAAAACAAACCAAAAAGGTTTGGTTATATATAAAATCTTTAACTGCTTCTAAAAATCTAGGCATTGAAGTCTTCCAAATCAGCTTTTTCTGATCAATTTTTGCAGTCAGCTTTCAGTAACTGAGATGACAACATTGTTCAGACTGCGATCCAAAAGGAATGTGGATAAAGATAGTACACAGAAATAAAGTCCAAATGAAAAATCACATAAGGTAGTAGCCCTCACAATACTAAATAAGTTGCAGGAAAAAAATGTTTAACATAAGCTGTTTTAAATCAGGATATAACGGAAGCCACAGTCTGTAAAAGGATATTTGTCATTCATACCCACTCACAGACACATACCTACAAGTTTGGATGAGTTTTTTAATATGCTTTTGAAGTTCATTTGAAATAAGCCCAAAGTTTTTGAAACATCTATTGTTTTTTGAAACATAAAGTTAACTGATATGATTACTAATATCTGAGATAGCTCAAGCAGTTGGTATTTCGTGTCAAAGCAGGATGTGATCTGCTAGTACATAATTGTATTTTGAATGAGGAAGGCTATTTATACTTGGACTTATACCAAGTATAGAGATCTTCAGTCCAGAATGAAACACCTTCAGAAATTGTTGGTGAAAACACACCAAACTAATGATTGCTGAGTTGGTAGAAACATCTCAGAGGGCACCGAGTGGTGCCTCTAGATCAGGTTTACGTTCAGAGACTAGTAACAGTACACCAAGAAAAAAAAAAAGAAATTTACATAGTTTACATTGTGTATGTAAACAGGCCATTTGCACATGATTCATAAACGTCTTATTTATCATTCATTAAACACTATGTAAATGTGTGAACCAAGAGTTTTTCTCAGAGCAGTTTACAGAGCAGATGTAACCAATTTGAATAAATATATGTAAATAAATAAATAAATAGTTTGATTTATTTATTTATTTATTTTTAATGCACATGTTAACCTAAAGCTGAACAAAACATTGGTTTGCAACAACTCTTTTCTGGCTGACTAATTGGGCTATTTATGTCACTTTTGTTCACGGAGAAATCACTGGTGTAGACAATCTGTTCTGCTTCAACCAGTGTTTGATCAAAATTCCCCTCTCCAATATGCACCTGCAAATTGGCAAATTACTTTATAGCCTTGGATGAGGATAACTTTTCATGCAGTGGATATTGAGTGAGGATATTAGGAGCTTTCAATCCTTCAGTGGAGTTATCCACGTGAGCAAAAAGTGTACTGCCCACAGAAAAAGAGAAGTTATGTTGCCTTCAGTTAGGCTGCTGAAATGGTAGGAAAAATAAGTTGAGGAGGGTACCTGTGCATTTCTGACAGTGGAAAAAAAATGGGGATAGCCTTCCAAAAGACATGTTAGAAGCAAGAAATATGCCTACTTTATGTTGGAATTGATTGAACAAAGGGACTTTTCAAAGTCTTCGCTGGCAACATAAAGTTCAGGCTTTAATGATGCACAAAGCCCTAACTAACACCATGTAGGTGTCCCCACCTCAAAAGAAGGTGCTTTGGACATCTGAAAGGTTTGTTTTCTTGATGGCCAAACTGACCTGCAAAAGAGACTCTCAGAGGCGACGTATAAGATTTAGAGAGGCAGCTACTGAAGTTGAGCGGGTGCTCTGTGGGGCATCTTTCAGTCTAGGGCTAGACAAAGCCTTGGAGAAAGAGGTCAGTCCAAACTCCAATGGTTGTCCAGATATTGGAGGAAAACCCACCCAGCGAATGAGACCAGCTGTCCTGGAAGATGGGAGATATTTTAGGAAGGGGGCAGAGCAGTTGGAATGAACTGGGAACACCACCGGCAAGAGGCTTTGCCTAGAAAGTTTGTGTCTAGTAAATACTTCCAGCACAGAAGAAGCGTCTGTTATATTGTACTTTACACAGTTTCCCCTGTTTGAAATAAGCTGCATCAGCAAAAGCACTCCTATAGCTGTGTAACTGTATTTTCACCAGGCTTTTTGCTAATATAAATGTATCATTAAAAAAAAATCACATCCCTCCTCTGTCAGCAAAACTCTCTAGTGTGGAACTGGCCTGAAACTGCCTTGTCTGGCTTCGTTTATGCAAAGCTAAACCCAGGTGTTTTAGGAACCACTTAATTTTATATTTTATTTTATTTTATTTTATTTTAGCCCCCTTTTCTGCATCTCTGCAGGATACTAGAAGTGGTGATGCCCAGACCTGGCTGGCAGAAGATGTGGGGCTTTGGGGAGCTGCCCACAAGGTGGCCATCAGACCACCAGGAACAGGCTCTGCTAAAGGTGAGGACCACCTTCCTCAGGGGTTGCTGGTCCAGCCACTCCAGGGAAGGTGGCATGAAGGGGTCCCCCATGGTCAGCTAGGGCTCAGTGCTGCCTGGACATCACCTCCAGCCCCATCTCCAAATCAGCGCCCTGTATCCCTCCTGAAAAACTGTCTTGGGTTGTCAGGGGAATTGTTTGTCACATCTGCTCTCTCAGAAATCTACACAATCATACACTTGGCTGATAAAAAATGAGTCAGTTTAACAAGTTTTTTTCTCTGAGAGGTTCTTCTAACAAAGTGCTGCATTTACCTTTCACGTCCCAGCCCTGCCAGGGAGCTCAGCAGCGTGTTTTAACAATGGCCCTCACACATCTCGGGTGGGAAGAGAGAGGGAAGGGTCCAGCAGCTGCGACCATTCAGCACATTCCAGGTCTTGGCTAATGAGTTTATCCTCTAACGGGCTTATACGAGCCTCTTAACACACTGAGTGTCCCCATACGCTGGTCTTCCAGGCTCCAAACAAAAAGCTGACATGCCATGCACAGGGGCAACTACTTCTGCTTTGTATATAAGTCCGAACAAGGCCAAGAGACTGCCAGAATAAAATGAAGAGGGGATGTGCTGGTGTCAGTGGGGTGTGTCTGAGCATGTGTGCACACCACAGGTGCTCCCCACCAGACTTTTCCAGTGTCCTCAAATGAGAATGGAGGGCATTACCTTGCTGTACCATTGCTCAGGCCACTCTGCATCCTACAGAAACCAGAGGTTTAGGCTGCACACAAACCTGGAGCAGTCACTAGATCAAGCTGTCCCTGAGCTCTGCCTGTCTGTAGGGTGTAGGGTCCATCCCTACCACTCATGGTCGACCCATACCACCCCACTGAGTCCCATGCTTCCCCCTCTTTCAGTGAGACAGTATCCCAAATCTATGTGTCTCAGGACCCACATCTGAATTTCAGAGCACTGTGCAGACTCAGTCCCCCGTGACCTCCATTGCCAAGCTTGATGCTATCATCCCCATTTCAGATTGTGGGACTGAGGGGTAAAAAACATTCAGCCCAAGCCCCCTAAGACCTGGGCCCCAGGGCAAATTGAACACACAGTCAAGGAGAACAGAAATACCACTGTCCAGGGGCAGAAGAGAAGGACAAAATAAGGCAGGGCATGAGCCCATGATCTGGGATGCCCCCAGCATGAGCTGTGGGCATGACTGTGTGCTCCAACCTGAGCTGGCCCATGGCCACGGGAGAGGGAGTGGTACCTCACAGTACCATCCTGTCTTACACAACAGAGGTGGGCAGCCATGAGGAGCAGCCTTTACCTCCTCCCTATGAGGGAAATCAAGACAGTGAGCTTACTTAGCATGTCTAAAGACAGGTGAGATGAAAACCTATTGTATGCAGCTTCCTCAAGGCCACACATGGCCATGCATCAAGTATGATGCACATCTGAGCATCTTCCCTTTGCTTTTGCACGAAGGGCCTGTCCAAATGTCTGTCTATTACACACACCAAAGTGACAGTTTCAGTTTCTATCTCACGCCCAAATATTACATGTTAGTGAAGAAATCTCGCTAGCCTCGCTATAGAGGCAGTCCTTAACAGCTGCAGTCTGAGCAGTGACACTGCCCTGCAGCGTGGGGACTGAATGTGGTGTCCATGTAAACCTCTTCTCCACACTTTTTTTTTCCCTCATCAGTGTTCACCCCATTATCAGTCTTTCCCCACAACCTGAGTCCATCATGCCTGCTTGGCCCATGGAAATAACCGTGGATGGCTATTTCTCTGTGCTGTGGTGCCCAGAAAAGCCAAGGAGGTTTCTGCTGGTGCATCAAAAAGTCCTCACCATAAGTGACCTGGGGCACTCCCATAATATTGAAAATTAAATTCAAGCCAAGTCTACCCCATTTTGCCATCAACAAAAAAGAGGAGCCAGCACTCACTGTTCCTCCCTCCTCTCCCTTCCAGGTAGGGAGAGAAAGGCCACAGCAATGGCAAACCAGAGTCCTCAGAGATGTCCCCTTGGTGACATTTCCAGTATCCCCATGAAACCAGGCTCCCCTCTTCTTGGCCACTCTGCCAGCTGCAGAGGCTTGCGCCCGTCAGGAAAAGCTGGCTGCAAGGCACAGTGGTGAAGAAATGTAACTTGTCAGATAAATATACAGCGTCTATAAATCTCCCCATCTGTGTTTATTCAAAGCCTCAGCACCTTCCCGAGTGCAAATAGGGGTTAAATTATTCCCTGTTCTATTTGTATTTAAATGTTATGTTTCTATGATAAGCGTAAGGCAGAGGTGTCAGACTGGCCCAGGAGAAGGAGGCGGCACGCGTGAAAGGTGAAATAATAGAGCGTTGCAAACCAAGTGCTGAGAGGAGATGGGAAGGGGGGACACGTGAACGAGGGGAAGAAGGGGGAGGACGGGCACTAATTAAAGAGACAGAAGGGACAATGAGATGCAGGATGTTTGACCCTCTGTGGAGCAAGAGGACAAGAACAAGGATCACAGCAATTGTGGAGGGACTAGGGG